GGCGATGGACAGGGAGCAATGAAATTTAGCTGAGGTTGCAAGAGAAGGGCCTTCTTTCGTTTGTAGGAATTTTATAGGAATTTCATATTCAAATAAAAGTTCCTATAAAGCCCTTTGGTTTGTAGGAATGGATTCTTATTTCTATGTAGAGTAGGATCCAATTCTTCACATTTCAAAGAAAAAAAACATTAAGGTAGACTCAATGAAAAAAATTCCTATCCCATGTCTTAAATGACATCTCTTTTATTTTTTTATAGGAATTGAGATGCATGTCATCTCACTTTCTATGAAGTTTCTATTCCTACAATATTTCTATCCTGTTGTAACATCCCAAAATTTACAATTTTTGAGTGTTAATTACTTAAATAGGATTAATTTAAAACTTGCTTGTGTTACTTGTTGTTAGTAAATTTTGACTAGGATTTGAAACTTTTGGTGTTAAATGAATATTTTATAGAGAGGGAATAAAAGGACTTTCCCAATTTTCCATCGGCGTCTCATTTTGGATTTATTGAATATTCAAAAAAAATCCAATTATGAGAGAGGATGACATGACTTCCTCAAAGAATAATATTGGTGAATAATTAAATATTCCCCCATTTGGATTTTGAATATTTAAAACAATTCTGACTCGGAAGTTTAAATATTATGAGAGAAGGTAATATGAGTCCTTCAATATTGATGAGTCGGATATGTTTTAAATGTTATTTGAATTTTCTCATGAGTTCAAAAATATTTCGTGGAACAATTTATAAGTGTCAAAGTAAAGTTTATAAAAATATTATATGTATTTTATATAAGTATTAAGCTATATATGACTATATTATTTTTTGGATGTTCTGGTATTTTTAGGAAGTGATTTGGATCATCTTTGGAGTTGCAATCATTTCTGTACCTGTAAAATAAATATAGGAAATCCCTAAACCTATACCTAGCTCGCCCGAGCGGCCTGTCCCTATCCGCTGCTCAGCAAAGCAGCGCGCAGCGCAGCCGCTAGCAGGCCAGCCGGTCCAGCCCAACAGCAGCAATAGACGCGGCACAGTCGGTAGCCGCGCACGCGCATCAGTGCGACGTCAGCATCGCCCCACCTTTCTGCCTCTCAGTTGCTCCTCTATCCATGACAGCGGGCCCCATCTGTCATCTGTCCCCTCTGTCGTGTTCGTCCCGAATACTGTAGCCTGATCCAATACCAATCGCATCGCTCGATCCTTCACCCCTTTCCCAAACTGTGGACACCAGGCGACCCCTCTCGCTTCCCTCGTCCGATTCCCACAACCTCCGACTCAAGTCGCCTTCAAAATCAACCACACCGACCTCATAGTGCTCCGCCAGCCGAGCCTCCTTCCACGGCCAAGTCTGGCGATAGTAAGCCACACCCATGTCCCTCTGTTTGTCTATAGAATCGCCTTGATGTCCCGCCTCTCCCTGACCATCTTCCCCTACGCAGACGCAAGGATCTAGGCTCCCCAGGGTCGCCCGATCTCGCGGGAGCTCCAACGCCACTGCAGCGCCAGCAGAGGACCCACCCATCTCCGTTGAAGCCACCATCACAAGCTGCATCCTCCCGTCACCTCATATTCACCGGAGAGCCACCAGAGGAGCATTGCCACCGTTTTCCCCTGCTGGTGAGCACGCGCACGCAGGAAACCCCTTCCAACCAATCCTAGTGCGACACGTGGCCACATGCTATAGTAGCCGCAGTTCAAAATACGTTTTGGACAGATTTTCACCCAATTTTCAACTAGCTATATTTTTAATCTATATACCCAATTTAGGTGATTATTTTTCCTATGTAATCACAATGACCATAAGAATATGGCAGAACCAATATTCACACCTTTGTGCATTTCAAATTTGAATTTGTTTGAATTTTGGTTCAACCATCCGGAGGTCATATCTTTCAAACTGTTTCTCTAAAAAAATTAATTCCTTTTGCGTCTGACCTTTATACCATATGCTTGCTATTTATGTCATGTATACTCTAGATTCAAATACTTTTGACATATTTGAATTTTAAATATTCAATTTGAACTTGAATTCACCATAACTTTGGTCATATAGCTCCTATTCGATTAATTACTTTTTGCCAATTAATTCTTATGTCATACTCAATATGTCATACAACATTTATGTTATTGTCCCTATAATTTTAAGTTGATTCCATATTGTCTCAAATATAACCCTATATAGCAATCTTTATCAATTGATTCTTTGGAGTTGACTTCTTCACCTGTCACATTATAGAACATAAACAACCTATGTTATACTTTAAGCCTATATTTATTGGTGTTGTTCAACCTTGCCATATTTCTTTTGTTGTTCTTTTTGTTCTTCTATATGGTGTGGTTATTTATTTGGATTCTTTCATTTGCGATAGATTGCTCGGAGCGTGACGAGTAGAATTATCAGGAATTTGGAGTGCGACAATCTTCATCCAACGTACCAGGCAAGTTACATCTTGATCATACCACAACCTATTGTTTTTCTATGCGTGTAGTTCTATATCACAATAGCATATTATGCATGTGTAGGAATATTATGGTAGTATGCTATTGCTACTGAGTTTCAGCTTAGTAATGCCTTACTGTAGATCGTGGTAGTGTATTCTTGCTATGCTATGTAGACGAGGATTGGTTCGTGTATGCATCGAGATTATGTGAGGACTATATATAATATAACTTGAGTAAAAACATAATATATAATTCACCTCTGGAGGGGGGTTGCATCATGGAATTTCTTGTTCCTTTTCTAAGGACATGGAACATGACTAAGTGCGCCCGAATGGTGTTGCTGGGTGGTTTCAAGAATATCATGATTTATACCTTCTGAATGTAAGTGGGTGTCGTCTAGGCTCAAAATGATCAGACAGACTTACTGACTAGTAGCTTCCATGTACAACCACTGGCTAATATGGGCTCTGGCTTAGTTGATCAGTTGCGGAAACCTTACCCGGTTGGGATGTGCCTCCTGTGGGACTAGGCGACTGCTTCTGAAAGACTTTGTATCAATCTTTTGGGTTGAGTCCGGTGGGTAAAGTGTGCAGACCTCTACAGTATAAAAACTAATCATGATTTGCCGTGTCCTCGGTTATGGACAAATTTGAGCGATTATGCCATTACGGTTGTTGGATGATCTTGACTGATAACACCTTAATAAAAATTGTGTGGGAAAGTTAATAATGGGGATAGGTTGGAATTGGATTGCCCAATTCAACTGTATGTATTTAATTTTAGCAAGACATATATAAAATTTAACTATCATGTAGCTATTACGGAAAAATGAGCTTTCTGCAAAACAACCACTACACTATCTCTTGATATACCTTGCGTATACATGTA